CTGCAATATAGTTTTGAATTAATTTAGACCAGTGATTATTATTATTATTACGTGCAGCGCTTTTTTCTTTCAAGTTTTAAACAAAGTTTGTTGAGAATGTATTTAGCAAGTTGCTTCATTTGATATGATTTTTTTCAAACAATTTATTGGTTTTCTGCTTTCGTTTTGATTTTTTCAAGTTTTGATGTATTTAAGTTTTTCTTGTTTTTTCTCTATGTTTCTTATTAATAAAATATAGTTAGCATATAGTTGTTATAATTAAAGGTTTATAGTTTGTTACCTCTTGTAATCTTATGTCTGCATGTACTCTCTTTAGATTTGTTATATTTTTTTAAATTTATTTTTATAAAACTAATAGAGAATTATTGGTGAATCTTTTATTGATTGTAAAGTTATATTTATCAATGATTTTTTTTTTCATTTAATGTTGTTTTTATCAATATTTTCATGTTGTTTTTTCTTTTTAAATTTATAGATAATTTACTTTTTTTAACATCAAGGTTGGTTTTCCTAATGCTGGCAAATCAACATTATTACGTGCTATTTCACGTGCAACTCCAAAGGTTGCAGATTACCCATTTACCACACTCAGCCCTAACATTGGTATAATGGCATATAAAGATATTAAAGTAACTGGTATAATTAATTTAACAATTTATATTCATAAGTTTTGAAATTTTTTGTATATTATGTATTTTTTCTATATATACAGGTCTAGTTTTTAAGTGTTAAGCCAGCAATTTACATACGCATTACGTACATCTAGAGCAATTTCCATTAAGCAACTTTCATCATTTTTTAACTTTTAAATTATTCTATAAGCAGTTATATAAAAGAAGTAATTAACTTTATAAAAAACCACATTAACTTTTGAATGACGATTATGTAAAAAAGTTTGAATGACAATTATGTTAGATGTAAGCGCTATTTACTAATGAAAAAAACTTAAATAAAATTTAAAACTACACAAACTTAATCTCTATTAAGTTAATTATTTTATCAAACAAAAGAATTGTTTGAAATTATCAAACTTAGTGTGTTCATATTGGTGTCAGATCAAACTTTGTGTGTTCATATTGACATCAAATAAAGATTTTTTTGAAAAGACTATGGTAAGAGGGTTGGAAACAAAAATACCCAAAATGTTCTTCCAACCTCTAGACCTCATAACAGCACATAAATATTTAAAAAAACTTTCTGCTTTTAATCCTAAGTTAAATAAAAATCTCTACACATTCTACTGAGGAAAATGAAATTTAAAAACATTTCTCAGATAATAACAATTTTTTCAATTTCAATTGAAAAAATTGTTTATAATTAATTATCTTTTTTTTTTAATGTGAAGTTATTAATCGTAATGTTAAAAAAAAAAAAACATAAAATAAATATAAAAACTTTCATTTATCATCTTGAGAGCAAAAGAATATTTATGTAACTTTTGATTGCATTAAAAAGAATTCCTTAAATTTCTATATAGTAATAAATAATTTATAGTTAATTTATTTTTTTTATTGCAGTGATTGATTTTTAAGCTTTACTGATAATTTTTATTGATTTTTTAAGCATGAAGCAAAGATCATTATAATATAATTTAATTTTGATTAAAAAAAAATGATTTAATTTAATAAAAATATATAATTTTATTCTGATAAAAAATATATAGTTTAATTTCAATTTAAATATATATATATATATATATATATATATATATATATATATATATATATATATATATATATATATATATATATATATATATATATATATATATATATTCTGAATAAAAAAATATTTAAATTTATAAAATTAATGCTTGGGTTTAACTTAACTGTTAAATTTATTTAAAATGTTTAAATATTAAAATGTTACTAAATATTGTTCAATATTTAAGTTTTATTTAATCTTAAAAAAGAATTAGCTAATTTCTATCGGAATTGTTTTTTAAGGTTTTTTAGTCAAAATTAAATATTAAATAAATGTGTTCCGAAGCTGTATCAAGAATTTGCACAAAACATAAACTTATTTTTATAACGCAAGTAGAACGCAGCAAGTTATAAAAATAAGTTTATGTTTTTTCACCTTACTTGTAAGTTTACTTACAAATAAAGGAGACTGGTCTCCCTTACTTGTAAGTAAACTTACAAGTAAGGGAGACTGTTTTACAGTTACTTGTAAAATTGAAGATTTATCTTATAATAATCTTATATCTACCTGTCAACACGGATTTGTCACAAATAGATCAAGTGGTGCAAATCTTTTGGAAACTATGACTTTTATAGCAAAATCAAATAAAAAATCGACAGATGTTATATTCCTCGATTATGCTAAAGCTTTCGATAAAGTACCGCATAAGTCTTTATTATTTAAACTAGAAAAATACAAAATTGTTGGTAAATTTTCTTCTTGGATAAACTCTTTCCTTTCAAATTGTTGACAACGTGTTGTTTTAGGAGAAACAGTATTTGATTGGGTTCCTGTCACTAGTAATGTTCCTCAGGGTTCTGTTTTGGAACCTACTTTGTTTATTATATACATTAATGATTTGCCTGATAAGATAAACAGCATTTGTAAAATGTATGTTGATGAAACAAAGATACTTGCCACAATTGAAAGCAAAAAAGACTGTGAACGTCTGCAGAGTGATATTAATTGGATTACAGAATGGACAAGAATATGGCAAATGCAACTAAACGAAAGCAAGTGTAATGTAATGCATATTCTAGAGAGTTTACTAAAATTTGATGATCTTATAAATGACCTTAGCACACACCAGAGCATTACTATATAAATGACCTTAGCACACACCAGAGCATTACTATATAAATGACCTTAGCACACATAATGCTCTGGCATTAAGCATGAAGTGAACAAGATTTAGGTATTTAGGTCATCTGATCTTAAATTTTATGATCAAGTCACAAAAGCATCATATAAAACTAATTGAGTGCTTGAAATTCTAAAAAATACATTTATATCTAGAAATGTTAATATATGGAATAAACTTTATAAAGTTTATGTGCGACCACATTAAGAGTATGCAGTGTCAATATGGTCGCCTTATTTAAAAAAAGATATTGAAATTTTAGAGAAAATTCAAAAACGTGCTTCAAAGATACCACACAATCTTCATACCCTTAATTACTCTATTCTCTGTTCTACAATTAAATGCTCATCACTAGAAAAGAGACACCAATAGGGAGATCTAATTCAAAATTACAAACTAGAGAATTTTAAAAATAAAGTAGTCTGGCACAAAAAACATATAAAGGTCTCTCCACAAGCTGACCAACATTTACAATACCGCAAAAAAATCATAAAAAACTGAACTCAATGGTATCATTTCTTTAACAATAGAGTTGCTTCGATTTGGAATTCACTACCACATGATGTTGATATGCAGCAAAGTACAAACTCTTTTAAAGATAGCTTGGACAAATACATTGAACAAAATTTAAACATAAAATCTAGCGAAACTGCAAAATAAAAATGCAGCCCCAAAGTTACTATATCTTTTTCATTCTTTGGCGTTTGACGTTGTTGCCTGCAACAGATGAGATGCTTTACACAAAAAATGGCAATAAAACATTCTATTTAAATAGAATGTTCATTTTGCTGTTTTATTTGAATTATTTTACAAAGAATTAAAAAAAAAAAAAAAAACTTTTTGTATTATTTAATTTAGAATCTAAATAAAACGTTAGTTTTTTCTTTTTTTTTATTATTAAATAATTTACAACTTGATTAGAAAGTTCCTTTTTTCATTTGTTTTAATAATTTCTATTTAGAATTTAAATAAGGCTATATATATATATATATATATATATATATATATATATATATATATATATATATATATATATATATATATATATATATATATATATATATATATATACATACATACATATATATTAGGGTGGTCCAAATTTTACACATTATTTAAAATGCAGGTTCCACAACCCTAAATGTGTTCTATATAATAACATGATACTGGAGTTAAAAAATCTTCAAAAAAAAGTATTTTCAGGGGAAGTAATAGCCTCTAAAACGTCAGGCGGGCCCCTAATATTATCAAGAAAAAAAGTTCCTTAAAAGTAATCTTGGAGAAGTGAAAAGAAGTTTAATTTCATAAAAATTTCAAAAATAATAATCATTTTATATATTTCAAAAATACTAATCATATTATATTACTAGTTTAAATTTTTTAAAGTACATATTTTCAAAGGTTTTTTTTAATAAACTTTTTTAATTTGTTGTTATAAATTTTTTTTATTATTTTTGAGATTTTTATAAAATTTTACTTTTTTTGAGACCCAACATGATATACTTTTGAAGAACTTTTTTTTCAAAATATTAGGGACCCATCTGATGTTTAAGAGACTATTGCTACCCCTAAAACATTTTTTAACTCCAGTGTTATGTTATTATATAGAACACATTTAGGGTTGTGGAGTCTGAATATTAAATAATGTTTAAAATTTGGACCACCCTAATAATATATATATATATACATATATATATATATATATATATATATATATATATATATATATATATATATATATATATATATATATATATATATATACATACATACATACATATATATAATATATATATATATATATATACATATATATAATATATATATATACATATATATAATATATATATACATATATATAATATATATATATATATACATATAATATATATATATATATACATATATATATATACATATATATATATACATATATATATACATATATACATATATATATATATATATACATATATATATATATATATATATATATATATATATATATATATATATATATATATATATATATATATATATATCCTATATATACAAAAAGAATTATTTAAAATCATTTTAACAAATGTCAAATATAACAAATAATATGGTAAATTATTTTAAATAGCGATTTACTTTTTTATTCATATTTACATGATTTACTTGTTTATTCATAATTACATGATTTACTTGTTTATTCATATTTACATGATTTACTTGTTTATACATATTTTTTGATTGTTTGAAAAATTAAAGAAAGCATTCATATAGAATGGAAAAAATTGCATATTTCATATCCTATATGAATACTTTCTTTAATTTTTAATTCAAATTTGTTATTGGCATGATCCAAAGTCTAAAAGCATTCATCACTATAATTATTAAAACAATTTTCTTTTGAGTGAAGATGCTTATAAATACAAATGATTTAAAATCTACATGAAGGTGATCTTTAGATGAAAAAAAAAGTTTTCCATTTAAAACACTTTTAGCAATGTGATAACCAATTTTATGATAAATGATTTGCAATGTCTCTTGATAATTGCGTGTATTCTTCGCTTCATTGACTCAGATATTTTACCAATATAAGTGAGTTTAAAATAGCAAGTGTTAATTAGATTTTCAGAGAAAAATTACCTTCGTTCAAGTATGAACTGTGGATTTTTTAAATTATCCATGATAGGTACATATTACGTTTGAGAGTTTTAAAAGGGTTGTTAATATTGTAGCAAAGACCAAGAATACTATTGTTAAATTTGAAAGTTCTATCCATTAAACATTTTTAATATGAGACTTTATATGAAAATGAAGTAAA